AGTTTCTAATAGTAGCTGTATATTTATCCTAACTATTTTGTATATATAAATACAAAATGAACTTTCCTTTGTATCACATTTTTTTTTGTCCTGTCAGAGGTGGATATTCTATTGGCATCTAAATACGATATGTGTTTGAATTCAGCTAAACAATCTAACACTGTCTAGCAGTCTATAATATTAGTGGGTTATCCTCAAAAGTTATTGACTTAAGCCTTTTATAGCTCATCGTATTAATATGGCTTTACCTGCCCTAGCCCCTTGTGTTCACAATTATCTGAGAAATCATTTTGTGAAGTCACTCAAGTTAGAGATCTGTCTCCACCAAATGATTTATAGAAGTGATATTATGAAATGTTTTTTTAATGAACAATGTCATATGAACAAGTTATTGTTCATTGTGATCATAGCTCACTCTTATATGATGAAAATAACTAGAAGATTGGACTTTAAAGGAATTGAATAATGAAAATCAAAGAGCTGGATAGAAGCTGTGCCCTAGACCACGTGCTACAAATATATGTGTTTTTCTCCCTTGAAATATAGACAGATAAATTATTAAGTATGAAGGTAACATAAAAATCAGAAGGAAAGCATTTGCAATAAGCCAGTCTTTCTCAATTATGGAATGCTCATTAGAAATACAGACCTGTTGGACTCTCTGGGTAGGGCCTGGGAATTTGACTTTTTCCCAGGTTTTTGGGTGATTCACATTTCCACTAAATTTGAGAACTTTCAGCTGTTAAACAATTCAGACATACAAAACATCCCAGTAGACTGAAGCATCTTAATAGAGATAAATTTTGATCACAACTGACTTCCAAAATAGAGGTAAAAACTGTCTTTTTGCTTTCCTAAGATATAAATTTATGGAATTTGCAAGTGAAAAATAATTAGAAAATCCAGATCGATAGCAGTTCCTTTTCAGAAGGACTGGGGACCTTACTTACGGGGAGGAATTCTACACAAGATGGGGATTGGCATCAGTTAGGGTTACAGTTTATCTGACAGCTGTTAAGGCGGTATGTATAACTGCACACTCAGGGTCAAGCAGTATCTAGCACTTTGGGTTACAAATATGATTACACAATTAAATGATTTTTGCCTTGACTTAAATAAAAAGCGGAAAATTGCTTCACACATTTAAAAGATTTAGAGAAAATATTTCTGATATGTAAAAACTGCTTTATAGTTTGAGAATGCCATCATCACAGTGTAAAAGTCTGCATTGGGATATTCCTTGCTTTTGCTTTGTCTGTCACTCCCTACCACAGAGAGGTGAGCAGATTCTTACCACAGACAGGGAGTTGGAAAGCAGGGTTCCATCCTGGCCCAGCATGTTGGAGACAGTTATTTCCGGGAGGTCCACATTTTGTGGGTGGAATGGCAACAGGCCATTGTGGTTCATGGGGTGGCACAGGGAGTGGTAGCCAGGCTCGACTTCATTCAGGTGCACCAGTGAGTGGTCAGGGAGGGAAGGAGGTGTGATGGGAGGGATGTTAAAGTCTTCGCTTTCTAGACTTGGACCCGGGTAGGACTGTGAAAAGACAAGAGTGACAGTGTGGCACGTTAACATCCTCTGTTCTTCCTCACCAGGAACACATCACCTTTTGGGTATAATTACCTGTAGCATTATGATTTAGCAAGATGTTTCAAATGTTCATATTACCTTACTGCCATTTATTATACCATTATGCATGGAAGAAAATTGCCTTGAAAGTATATCCACTTCTAGTATAAAGACTACTTCCATTAGGTGGTTTTATTTTTCCAGGAAATTGAACTCAAACAGAATTCAAAAGTCCCATTAAAATTTTCCAGAGTTTTAATCTAGTTGAATACCTTTTTCATGGGAATTGTGGGGAAGGGAGGCAATTTATAAAAATTAATGTTTGATCAAACATGTTTCTTAGGGCTCCCTACTGCTTGGATTATGGGATGGCAGAAAAATGAATTCCAGAAGTCTGAGGCAGTTGCCTTTGGGCTTGAAAAGTTACCTGTTCACAACAAAAGAAAATGTAACAGAAAAAGGAGTAAGTTAAACATGCTGCATAAGTGTAGACACATTGAAGATTTGATATATTTTTCAAAGCCCACAACAAGCTAATTCTATCTTAAAGACTTTATTAGTGGTCTAAGTGCCTGCCAGGCAAGCTCAAGGACCCAGTCTTGATTCTAGGTACTGTATGACGTGCTGGCCACTGAAACTGGGCATGGTGGTGTATGCTTGTAATCCTAGTGCTGGGGAGGCTGAGATAGGAGGATCACTACAAGTCTGAGCTGTGTGTGAGACTATGTAACAAGTAAATAAATAAATAAACAATTTTTTTTCAAAAAAGTGGAGAGTTCCTTCATGATTTCTAGTCATGTCTGACTTTCTGTAAAAGTTGATAAATAATAATACACAAATTTAATTTCACTGCAGTCCATCATGGAATGCAAAATACTACTATTATTATAATGCAAATTCTGAATAAAAGTCAAGAGCAAAAAAATAATATTAACATACCTTTTGCTTTTACAAATTACCTTAGATAAAATAGAAAGGGTGGTAGTGTAGAAAGACAGAAAAATTATATAAGACACACCTATTTTAAAAAAGAATGTAGTACATGTTGGAAAACATAAGGAAGAGCTGAATAAAGGAACACTGTTACCAATTTGGATCAATGCACAACTATATTTAGTAGTACTTTATAAAACAGGTGTCATAATATGAAAGGGAACATTTTGGTCCAGATAATTCTTGCAAGGCTATCTTTCAAAATAAGAGAGCCTTCATAGTCTCTGTGTGCATGGGTAACAAGGACTCCCTTGTCTAACAGCACAGTGCCTGCTGAAGTGTGCAACTTTTGAAATGAGGAGGCAAAGAGTATGAGCCAAAGAAAGTAGTGCAAGGTATAAATTGGGTGTGTAGCCAATAAGCTTCATGCTTCTGTGTCCAAGTGCCTAGGGTTATTTTTTCCAGATGGCGTCTATTTGTCTAACAGAAAGAAAATCATCAAATTGTACTTGCTAAGTGTTGTACAAGTTTTGATGTATTTGTTTAAGTGCTGTGGGAAGACAAGATCAAATGAAGAGCTGGTTGGAACATCTGGAAAAGAGGCCTGGCATGGGAAGGCACATGCGGGTTAGCACCTGGGGGGAAGGGTTGATTAATTCCTACAGATAATTTTTCTTAAATACCTAACTTTCTGGTACAAAAATAGCTACCAACTCTAAAAGTTCAATCATCTGTTACCAAAGTCTTCTGTTAATAATATTATGCTTTTAAAAAAATAATATATATGTTTTGTCTGAAAATTGTATTTGTGCTCTATGTAAAAGTTTGATCAAATTCTCACATAGCTGATATATTTTAGAGCCCGAGTCTATAGATTTCAGCCCTTAATTCCTTCTATAAGGATAGATGCCCACTGGGGAGAGAAAGAGAAAGCATATTTAATGATTCTTATTTCATATAAAGTACTTTATAGAGTCCTTTGACTGTGCTGCCTTCATTTAAAACTTATAATAATCCTTTATATAGCGATCACTGCCCCCATTATCTTGAAAAGCAATTGATGCTCAGAAGTTAAGCAACTTGGTTAGCTTCACTTAGCTGATGAACAACAACTTAGTACACAGGCAGAAAAGATGAATATGTGATGAAAGAAAGTGTTTCTTGATTGTCCTGGTGATGGAACCAGGGGCCTTGGCAAGAAGGTGCATCTTCAGCCTTCTTTCATTGTTTATTTAGAGACATAGTCTCACTAAATCACTAAGTTGCCAATGGTGGTTTGGAATTTGAGATCTTCCTGTCTTAGCCTCTGAGAGCTGGGATTACAGGTATATACTATCATATCAAACTGTGTGAAGGGATAGTTACATGAGCAGTAAAACTGTCACTATTTTAATAGGTTGGATGATAGAATATCACTAATAACCCTGTCTCTGATAAATAAAATTTAACAACATATACATAACATTATCATTAGTAATAGTGTTTTCTTATATCAAATTCCACCCAAAAACCCATCCACCAAAATTCACTAGTTTATGAGTGTAGGAATCCATAATTTCTCTCTGCCAGTAGAGCAATTGCTAGTTTTTTTTGATATATAACTTTAAAGAAGTTAACCAGTGCCTATTTGAAACCTTTCAGAATTAGGCATAAGTAATGGAAAGAAAGTAGAAAGTTACTCTTAATTTTAAAATATCATTAGACCTCTGAAAGTACAAAGGGATATTCTAGCCAGAGTATCTCATGACTTTATATTCTAGAGTTTCTTAAGTTGTTAAATCTTAATTAGTGGTATTCTAGAGAAAGGTCTAATTGGTAGCACTTTACATTCAGTGATAACAATTATAATGTAAATTTACTAAGCTACATGGCTTATTTTCATGTAATTACACACTAACATTTAATCCATGCAATTATACATCAAAACCACAGACTCCACAACTTAACTTGCAATGGGGTCAAGAATTTTAATAACATAAAGTTACTTAGTAGTTTATATTCTTATATTAGAAATCATGATATGCCTATTTGCCAGTGAAATTGATGCCATATAAAAATACTATGGTAGGTGTACAAATTTCAAAAAGTGATAGATTCTTTAAAAGTTCAATGCCCAATTAATTACTAATGGTTTTAGATGTGTAAATAAATCAGTTAGTTTCCCAACTTTGAATTCTATGATCTCTTTTACCTTGAGTCTTAAATATTACATTAAATGTGTTTATTAAATAGCTTTACAGTATAGACAGTTTGAAGTTGGGAAAATATAAGATATCATTTGATACTTTATTTTATTCCCCATGACCTTCTTGGTTGAATTTGCATTAAAAGTTTATTGAATGAATAAACTAAATAAAGTGGACCCTTGACTTATCTACTTAGTTCATTCACAATGGCTGGTTGTAACTCAAATTGCTTGTAAGTCAAGACTAGTTTTTCCATAAGAAATAATGGAAATAGCCATAATGCATTGCAAACTTCCTAAAGTATCCCTTATCTAACCTTGTTCTAAAAATGAAAGGTTGTATAGTGTGTGTATTTTACCACAAATACCAATAATTTTCCTAGTATATTCACTGAAAGGTTATAAAATGTGTCTATTGAATGAGCATCAATTTCATACTTATTTACCATTCAAGTTGACATCTTTGGCTTTCAGGAAGTGATGATGAAATGGAAGGAGGTTTTTGTTTGTAAGGAGAGTCCCCTTCCACAAGAACATCAGGAATGTATTCCCTGCTGTCCTTTCTCTCCATGGGAGAGTCCTTAGCCCACTAGGACTTGCTTCTGGCTCACTAGACTAGGTCTCAATGTTTTTGGAAAGGAAAACTCATTTAAGTTTGTCTGCTTTTGTCTTTTCTTTAACACTGCCCTATAAAGTGACATGATATTGTCATTAAGCAAGTGAGTGCAGTGATCGGCTTTTTCTCTGTCTGGATGGGTTTTCTCTACAAATGTTTCTAGCTCTCTCAGTGTTTTCAGGATTTCCTTTATTTCAGAAAACGGCACTGGTTCCTAATACTCCCCCGCCACTTCAGAAGGCTCCTCAACCACCACTCTCTGCTGCTCAGACAGAAGCCGTGAAGTTCCTCAGTAGGCAAACTCCTCTGAGTGCCCTGCACCAGTTCCTCAACATGTCCACTGTCTATGTGAAAACCTGTGGACTCTGCTGTAGTGACAGTGTCATCAGATACAGGGTCAGTTGAAGGCTCAGGTTGCTTTGCCCAGCCTTCAAATTCTCTCTCCTGGCACCAGTGAGATATCTCAGTGGACTAAACTCAGTGGACTAAACTTAGACAAGTGTGTAGGGACCATAGTTTGAGCCCTAGCACCATATGCTGAGCCAGCCCAGCCCCCACGGTGGGCTGAGCTGGCCACAAACAAACAAACAAACAAACAAACAAACAAGTAAATGAAAAACAAAGTCTCTCTCCTGTATAACTTTAGGCTACACCTTCCTCAAGGTAGATCTCAATGTCTTTAGACATTGTTCCAGGATTTCTCAATTAAAACCACACAGGAAAATATGTTGCAATGTTTCTTCCAGAACTTTTTTTTAAAAATGTATTTGGTTATTGCAGGGTCTCACTACAAAGGTCAGACTTATAGTGATCCTCCTGTTCTCAGCCTCCCCAGCACTGGGATTACAGGCATAGGCATTATGCCCAGACTCTGTGGCTGGCTCAGCCCACCCTGGGGGTGGGGCTGGCACAACATGTCGTGCTGGGGATCAAACCATGGTGTCTACACTTGCCCAAGTTTGCCTGAGTTTTAGACCACTGAGCTATCTCACCAGCCTGCTTCCAGAATTCCTTAAGGGTTAAATTTGTATCTGAGATCATCTGGAAGCACTTCAGGAACAGATTCTTGGTACATGGCTTGTGAAAGTTAACTATAACCTGCTGGTCTATAGCCAGATGTGGAGGAGTTGTATTACATGGGAGGAAGTTGACTGAAAGCTATAGGAATTCTTCTGTCAATTCTTCTAAATCTCCTGGAGGAAGAGAAGCATTGACTAAGATGCCAACCTTGAG